AAACTAATTAATTTGTTTATTATTGTTCTCCAGTATGGGTCAATGATGACAAACCATTGTAGAAAACATAATACAAAGAATACGGGCTTTTAACAACCTAACAAAACAGCAAACAAGCCAAACTCAAAATAATAATAAACAATCTAAAGGTGTGCAAGCACGGACAAGACATAGGCAGAGAACAGAGTTATACTTCCTGCACCGCTCTCTGCTGCTAAGAGATACTATTTACTGCTAGACAGCCAGTGTAACATACAGCACTAATACCCTACATAACACCTGCAAAGCACTGCAGAAACTTTAGCTCATCTTAAAGAATTCCTTATTGGAAATAAAAGGAGTAAAAACTTGCTACATAACCCCAAAGCAGAAATCTACCTATAATTAAAAGGCACATTTGCCATTTTAAGTAGTCTGGGGGAAGAAAGACACAGCACAAAGACAGCTTTGTGCTTTTCAAGTAATGTGGTTGCAATTAGTGGCATTTCAAATCCTTGCAAGGAGGGCCCGGAGCACGGCAGAGCTGGCCCTGTTCAAAACCTGCACTGTAGCAGTTGTAGGTGGGTCTCTTCTAGGCAGTGCCCCAGCTAAGCGCTTGTCTGGGCTCTTTACCTTGTTATAAATGTAACAATTTGTAAACATGGTGTTGAAATCCTGCATACATTCACTGGCACTCCAGTAATAGTTATGTTCCAGGCGCTTCTTGATCGTCCCCATGTCCATGGGGTTTTTTATTATTTTGTGATAATCCTGTTGGAGAAACAGGAAAGACGTTACACCTCCTGATATGTGGAGAGTGTTGTTCACATCTCCTTCTAGTCCCAGCTTTCTCCTCATTCCCCCTCCCAAAAAACACATCCCCAAATTTTTATGGAAATCGCAAATATCTCTGCTTTCATTTATTTTCTAATTTGTAGCCTTTCAGTCTATCATTATCATGTACTTGACTACAAAGCACAAGAACTCCTTCCACAACCATCAACCTTCCACAGCTCCCCCAATACATGCTCAAACATACACTTAGCTACCTGGACATTACCAGCTTTTTATAAATACAGCTGGACTGGGAAGGCACTAAGAGTAACATGTGGAGGAAAACATGCTTTCTGAGCAGCTCTTCCTGGAAGCTGTTTGCAGCCTTGATACCCCTTAGGAGGCTGTAGGTGCCATTTTGGATTGTGCCACAGCGTGGAAGAGTGCCACACTTGACAGCGAGGCTAACACTGCAGCGATGCGCTTCGTGCTCCCGTGGGACCAGAAGTCAGGGCAGCAGGGTCAGCACTAGCTTTGGCAGGGTGTTCAGTTTAACGGTGGACTGGCTGCAATTTGGAAAACAGGATTTCTGCCTCCCTTTTTAAAAGACTGCCTCTGGCACTTACAGAAGTTTATCAGTGCCAGCACTGGCTAAGACTGCGCTAGAAGTTTCAGTCTCTCCCTTAAGAGCATTTCAGCCCTTAAAAGGCTTCCACATGTTAACCCAGTTTCTCTCTGGGCTGGTCTCAAGCATCTGTAGAGTCTATGATTAGCCTGGAGACACTCTAGGCATGCAAGGTGATACGCTGTAATTTTCTCATTCTGGAGAAGATCAGCAAGCCCTCCCGCTGCACATGCGCACGAAGCCATGCACAGCCACTGGCCACTCTCTGAGCCCAAGCACAACCCGAGACACCAGTATTTCCAGGCAAGGCACACTAGGGCAGAAAAGGCAATCCTGCTGGCTACTGGGCTTGTGCAGATTTAGGCCACACGTTAAAAACAACTATTCTTCCAACTGATTCCTCCTTTAACTGGTAACTTGCCCTAAAACCACCTCAAAATGCCTCACTGAGAAACTAAATCCACAAAAAGACAACACAAAGGAGCAGAGACCTACAGGTGTTAAGTGTTTTACTCTTTTGACTAGCACTTTAAATAGTACCCATCAACAACATTACGGAGTTCAAAAGACTCCTGATCTAGTCCATAAAATTGGTTTATAACCTGCGGTAACTGGAGCTCTCTTGACCTTACATCGCAGAACCACGCTCCCTCAAATCCTACATGCAACCCTCTTGCTCAAAGCAGCCAGAGTTAATTTGCAATGGGCTGCCCGGCTGAGCAGACAGCAGGGTGGATGGGGGGTGGTGTCTGTATTTTAGTGAAGCAGGTGGGTAGGGGTATGCCTCCACTGCTGAGTTTTCACACCTACAGGACCCCTTTGAAGATGTGAAGAGTGTGTGGCTCTGTTCCCTAAAAGAAAGCAGCTTAGTAAACTTTGGTCATTTACGAGTAACTGGGCTGTATCTTGTACTATCTGGTCTGACAGAGACAGGGTATATATCATCAGGCATAGAAAGCAGATGGGTAAATGCAACTGTTCTGTTATTTCTACTTCCAGTATAGCATTTGAAAATATCTAGCTCCAAAGTATCCTTGGTAATTAGCTTCTCCCATTTTCCTCAACACTGAAGTCAGTGGCAAATCCAGGAAAGCCTATCAGAAACACAAGTTACATTGAGCCCAGTGCCAAATGCTCAGAAGAGCGTGGACTTCAAGGCTCTCACTCAAATCGGACAGAGGTGGGATAAGGGGTGAAGACACAAAAATAACCAGAGGTAAGCCACAAACAAAGCACTGTGCTAAGACAGCTTGCTTGCATGCTCTTCTCTTCCCTCACTAAGTGAGGAGTAGTTTTTTCCTTCAGAAACATGCACCTCTCCAGCTCTGAAAAACATCACTCTCTAAATTCAGCGAGTCTAAAAGCATTCAAGGAAATCCCCGAAAGCAACCTAACCATTCTGATTCACCAACACAAAGCTTTCTAAGAACAGAATACCAAGCAGAAGATGATAGATACATACCGGCAAATTCAATTTAATTGCATCAACAGGTTGGTAGAAAGGCCAAGCAAACTGGTGCTTCCACAAGGTCTTTACTACAACATTTTGCATATATTGCAATTGGTTGGTCTTCCGGCCAGGCTTATTAGGATTAGTGACCTCCGGCGGCGGCGGATTCACAGGGCCCTGAGGAGCCTGGATTGCTGATGTGACTGTCGACATTTTCCTGCTCTTGCTCTCACTCGCTGTCACAGCAGCAGCAACTGGGAGATTTTCTTTCTTCCTTTATGCTCCCTGAATGGGACTGACATCCCATTTCCAGGGTCCAACCATACAACCTAGATCAAATGAGAGGAAGAGGACAATGTGTAAATACAGATACTTACTTGAAGCAGGCATGTTCAATCAACAGCAGAAGTGCCTTAACTCAGGCTCTTTACCCCACCTGTTTCATTCCCTTGTAACACACTTTATCTTGACGATGTGCACAGTTCAAGACCCAAGAGACAGTGGAACAGCGATTCCCAAATTCAAAGCCTGCAGAGAGCCAGTAAGCTTCACAGGACTAGTTCTTGCTGTATCTGGCTCAGAGAGCATCTTTGTGCAAAGAAAACATATGGGGTAGCATAAGAATACTGTTAGGGAATATAGTTAGGATATAATGCAGAGATTCCCACAAATGTGCTGATCCAAACTAGTAAATCCATAGCTTGCAGCTCCATGTAAACTTAACTGCTTTGCCTCTAGACCCATGCTGGCTGGCACTGAGGCAGCTTGCAAGTCTCTACACTGGTGCAATGGTTAGTCTAAAAATCCCATAATCAGGAGCGGGCAACAGCTGTCAGAAGGCCTCAATCCAGAGAAATAAAAGAAGAGGCAGAGGGAGGTGCTGTGAACAGTTGTGAATGAGAGGTGTCACCAGAAACATCCTAACTTGAAGTGATCTGCACTTTGAATCTCATAAATGTCTTACTATTACCCTTACTACATATACCTGACTGGGCCCTCAGTTTCGTATGGAAGTCTCAAGATACTGGCTCAATATAAATAATAATCAATATTACACCTACATCCTGTAACCTGGCTAAGAGAGCACTGTCACGTTCTCTCTCTTAAAGGCACATATGAAATACAGAAGAATACACAAATTGCATTACTGTACTCTATTTTTTTCCCCAGCAAACTCCAGGGAAAAAAATGGTCTAGTATCACTGTATCTTGTATACCATATGGTAAACAGCTTTGCTATGTCATCTTCCGTAAACATTTGATATTTCAATTCACATCAGGACTGCAGCTACTCTTCTCATGGCAAACAGACCACAGTCACTTTCTAGAGGCAAATTATTTCAAATATGTTCAGAAAGCCATAAAAATACTCTCACTGACATATGCTTCTTGGTTGCACAGAGAAACATGAGCAGAGACAGAAGATGCAGTAACACCGGAAGAAGGAGAGAGCATTAAGAAATCCTATGGGGGGCAAAAAAAAAAAACAACTCTTCTCTGATACGTCCATAATCATCTCTACTGAGTATCTGGACTAAATATAGAACATCAACTTACTCTTTGAGTTGCTGATTAGATGATGGCAAAAAGTAAACACATACCTAATTTGGGGGAATTTTACAAAAATAGATGTGTACAAACAAACAGATCTGCAGCAGAGAGGGATGTTTAAATATCGGTCTTCTCAGGCTTGCCCAGGTAGCGGAGGCATTTGCATTCCAGACGCCAGCTGCTGCCCCAGCAGCTCCGTAACTAAGAGAACGCTCCAGCACCCCGGTGATGTTGTGGCACAGGGAACTACACCATAAAGCAGCCGGTGCTCCGGGTGCCACAGCCATCAGGGACACCCAAGTGCTCCAGGTGCCGCAGCCGCTGGGTGCACCTTGCCGTGGACCAGTTTGGCTTGGCTCACAGGTGTCCCTGGCTCCAGAAACCAGATCTGGTTTATTTTTGGGGGGGTTAATTGTATAGTTAATTTTTTATAGTGCATCTATGGAAAATGAAATTGTTAAAAACCTAAAACAAATCCGTGTGTGAGTACACGTGCTTATATGTGCAGGGAACAGACAAGACCAGTTATGGCTCTGCCACCATCCATTCATGAGACCCATTATATTCTAAAGATGTTGAAAAAGCAGAGATGACAGTAGGACTTTCCTGTGCCATGTATATGGCACAAGTATAGATCCAGAATCAGGCCTCTGGTCCCTATTCTTTGATAACTCAAGAGCCCAGCTTAGTAGTTTAAAAAGGACTAGTCTGTTCCCCAGCCATCTCATCTGATCATGCTGGTCATGCTGCTGTTGGCAGGCAGGGTGATCACCAAGCAGCCAAGAGGGATGCTGGCATCCTCTGGGCAAGGAATTTCAAAACTAGGATGTTACTTGGGATTTCAGATTTGGAAGAAACTGGGGAAGCATTTTCTCCTGGTGTTCCATCAACTCAAAGCAGCAGCAGAAATATTGCAAAATGCAATCTTCAGATCAAGGGGGGGAAATAGACAAAGAATTAAAAAGAAGAAAAAGACATAATTGGGAAGTTTCACTCAGTGTCCTTCTGGGCAACTCTCTGCATGGATTTCAGACCCCAAGGCCTTTGAGCAACATCCATCATTTGAGTGCATGCAATGCTGACTGCAGGCCCCTAGTGACCACCATTGAAGCATTTTGTTTGCTGCCTTCTTGATTAACAAACTGAATCCAGTGCAAGGATTGACAGGAAAAAAAACTCAGAGAGCAATTCCTACCGCTGTCAGAGCATTTCAGTCACAAGTTTGAACCTATGCAGTGTAACTTAAGTCTTCCTTTAAATAACCTCAGGTTAAATACAACTATTCTCTCTTCATTTGAATTTTCCTACTCTCAAACTCCATCTGATAAGGATTTTTAAAATTAATTTCTATTAAATCCCAGAACTGTAATTTAAAAAAACACAGATCTAGCTCCTGCCTCTCCCAAACTCCCTCTCCGACCTTAGCAAAGGTGTTCATATCTTCACACCACAGCTCCTCATCTGTGCCACGGAGATAGTGATAGCTCCTTTCTGTCTTCATCTGCTCCACCCAGCCAGCCTGCAAACTCCCTGGGACATGCACCACCTCTTCACATGCACATTTTGATCATCAAGCTTAAACAAGGCTTGTACAGTCCACATAAGAGAAGCATGTAACAGCCATCAGTGACACAACTCAAAAAGGATTTTAATTAAGAATATTACCAAAAGTAGGAGGGGCAGAATCATGACAACTCAGCTAGTCCTCTGACAGCTGATCCTCCTTAACTCGCATGCTCCAACTCACTGGTTATTACAACCAAAAGTGGCTACAAATCCCAAAGCTCTTCGCAGCACTGTCATTTAAATGCTGGATCCTGCAGCTGAAAGACAGGAATAGCTACCTGGGCTATCTCAGCAGCACTGGAAGTATCTGTCCCTGGCATAAATACAGCTTTAATGTGCCTCACTGCACCCTTTTAACCCTTGCTCCATCAGCTTCCTCATCATTTGCTGGGGAAGCTGCTTTGATATCAGATTATTCCTTAATTTTTAAAACTAAAAATTTATTTCTACATCCATTCCTTTACTTCTAAAGTTTCAAAATATTATTTTAAGAATGTAAAAAGCAGGATTATGAGGAATCTGGAAGCTGAGGGTGCAAATGTTTTGGAAATGTCCAAAAATGTATGACATTGAATTCAGAGAGGCCATGGCCCTGCCTGACAAACTACTAGTTGTCAGACCTCATTTATCAAATGAGGAAAGTGAGAGGCATGACCATCTAACATCCCAACTTACGATACAAATCATCCAACACAACACTTAAGTAGGCTCACACACAAAAAACAAGCAAGCTTATACAAATTGTCCCATAACTACACGTAGAATCAAAATACACAGCTCTAGTCTAAGCACTTGAGCATCTACTGAAATTGCATTAGTATCAATAATTATTAAATTATTAGGGAGCCCAGTTGTGAACCAGAACATCACTGTACAAGGTACCGTACAAGCCTGGAACGAAGACTGCACAGGCATCATGTGCATCTTCCAGTAAGGGCCTAAGGCTGGACTTCTTTTAGCCTTGGGGTAATAACTTCTTAAATTTAAATTTTTAAATTACTACTTATTCTGTTCCTCAGACCTGTAATGTTTAAGTAACAGAAGCTGTTCTTGATTTTTCTGGCTGCACATGAACAGTTTTGATATTACAAATTTAAAGTACACCCTTCTGCTGTCATACATGAAGAGTGTGTACAGTGCTTCCCACATTGTACATTTCTCCTCCTTCTTACTCATCCCAGTCTGAGATGATAACTAAAAGCAAAACCCAAACCCAACCTCTCAAATCTTGCTTCTCTGGAGTTTAAGTCTGTCCTTTTGTGCTAAGTTGCAACCTCACTGGCATCCAGCAAAGCTACGGTGTTTGGCTTATGCCTCAGCCAAACCAGTCATCATAAAAAAAGCCCCAGCTAGGTTGGAAGGATTTTGGTTTTTTAACTTTTCTTCCATTGAGTTGCTTGCATGGGTCAGTCAGTGGAGAGACAGTTGGCATGGAGAAAAGACTTTAATAATTCCCTGTACTAGCAGGATAACATTTTACTTAGCTGATGCAGCCCACAGACTGTCTGCAGTGGTGGAGACTATTTTAAAAGAAGCTATAAAGCCCCATGAAACGTGCACTGTGCCAGTAAGCCTGCTGCTTCAGCTAACTGTTCTGCCACTTCCTTTGGCAGTGCCGAACATTTAACGGATGGCTCACTCCCTTGCTGCTGTGAGCGCAGTACAGGATGGTATTTGTTTTGATTGCAAAATTAGAAGGTAGCAAGCTTTATGTTAGCATGTGAGCCCAGCAACTCTTTTTTTTCCCTTGGTATAGTATTTCTGCATGGCTACTTGGACACTGACCAAAAACTGGCGCAATTCCAGCCCAGCCAGAAACAGCAATATAAATCTTCCCATCAGGGAAAATTATCAAGTTTAAGAGATGTTCCTTGACCTCATCTTTATCTCCACATTATTATTTACATTACAGTAGCACATGGAGGCTGTGCCGAGTCCAAGGTCCCTCAGCACTTAGCACTCTGCAGACTCACAGTAAGACCCTGTTCCTACCTCGAAGAGCTGGTGCTCACAACTCACGCGTCACACCGCGGTGAAGTGACCTGCCCGGGGCCACCCAGCGAGCCTGCGGCAGAGCCGAGAGCAGAGCCCTGAACCCCAGCCAGTGCGTAGCCCTGGTTTCATTAGTCAGCCCGTCAGCAAAACAGCACCTCCGAAGCAGCACTGCTCATACAGGCATAAAAGGCAGCAACTGAGCCTTTCTGAAGGTAGGA